TTTGCAAAAATGTGTTTACAAACCAATATTCAGACTTTGAGTATAGTAAAAAACATAATTACCTACATTTTTACTCCAAGGCATATGCTTATGTTTATTTTGAAAAATATGGATGATCAATCTATGTAACTATTTATTTCATTGATCTTATCAAATCACTAGGCCTACAGGGTTGCCAAGATTTTGCCATATCCTAACCTGTCAAAACCCACTGGTAGCCATTTTGTTTAGAATGCCTAATTCCAACGACCTGTCAAACAATAGGTGCCAGTGGGAAGTTCTTGTATATCTAAGGGGGTAGCGACATAGTCTTGGACGCTAATTTTATTCGAAATAGTAGTCGCCAAGCCTGCCAATTTATGAAGAAATGTATAAGCGGGTTTTTTAAATATTATTTTTATTGTGTTTGACATAAAATATTTAAATATAATCCATTATTCATGATTTTACGTATAGTAGATAGAATACATCGTATGTCGCAACCCTTAGATATACCAAACCTTCCTACTGGCAATTCATTTGTTTGGAATGCCTAATAATGTGAGGTGAACTAAGGGTGAACTCATTTTATACCATGAGGTGAACTCACATACTTTGATTGTGGGTGAACTTGATCTAAGATGTGTCAAAGTGACAGTTGTTTTAACATTCTAATAATAGACTCCGTTTCAATAGGTACAGCTGGAAGAAAATCAAAGTATGTGACAGCTGGGCACAAAATACCATTCCATATTATTTATTATGAAAGTGATCCACAGAAAATGTTTCTGTAGGCCTGACTGTCAAACGAGTCATATGGCTGTAATAACTACGATTAGGCATTCCAAACAAATGAATTGCCAGTGGGAAGGTTTGATATATCTAAGGGTGGCGACATACGGTGTATTCTATCTACTTTACGTAAAATCATGAATAATGGATTACATTTAAATATTGTATGTCAAACACAATACAAATAATATTTAAAAAACCATCCTATACATTTCTTCATAAATTGGCAGGCTTGGCGACTACTACTTCGAATAAAAATAGTGTCCAAGTTGCAAGACTATGTCGCTACCCCCTTAGATATACAAAAATTTCCCACTGGCACCTATTGTTTGACAGGTCGTTGGAATGCCTAATTATTAAATTACAAAATCCAAACTGACACTTAAAAAGAAGAAAACTATCATACTTATTTAGAGTGTTTGTAATCGAAAAACAATTATTGAAAATGGCAATCTTTATTGATAATAATAAAAATAAATGCGCACGCAAAGTTTAGAAAATTCTATCAAAATTATAAATATCTGAGGTCAATTCAAAAACATGTAAATTAGCACGAATTTCGCTTCCAAATATCGTCTCATATAGTACACTAAACACTAGACCTTCAATTTAGTATTGACACTTGCTATTTTGGTATTTATAGCAAAATCAGCAAAATGTCGATTACATGTTACATGACGTTCATAAATTGATAAATCTGTAACATTAAGGAATTAAAATGATTTTGTGTGGTTGCCTAAAGTTATTTAAATTCTTTCAAAAAGGCACTGAAACTATGTGGTTATGGAGGCCGTATGTCATACCATAATTTAGACATGACGATATAAGGGATAAAGGGAAATCTGTATTTTAGTCCGTCAGATAGTGACAGGTTTAGGTGCCCCATTTTCGCATGCAAGCCTCGAAGAGGGTTGAAAAGTACATCTATTTTAAGTAAGGAAATTTACGATTGGCTGCTGGGATAACACATGGAATTTTCCCTAACAAAACCAAAAGGTTATTTGTTGCCCATTTTTCCAGGCTTCGGAAAACCAAAGGCTTTAATGTTGCAAATGGCTAGAGGGTTGAATTAAGGGCGTTATCTTCTTAGGAAAAAATCGAGATTTTGTCCGATTTTTCCACACAAGCCTATCGAATGTATGAAAACTTACGTCGTCACTAGTCCGAAACACATATTTTCTTGAATGACCCGAATGTTTAAGTGCATTTTGGGGTCGGAAAATTTTTCTGATAAGGAAAATCGAATTTTCCATGTGTTATCCTCAGGAGCCACTCGTAAATTTTCTTTTATTCTACTCAACATCGATGTACTTTTCAACTCTCTTCGAGGCTTGCATGCGAAAATGGGGCACCTAAATCGGTCACTATCTGACGGTCTATTTCAAATCACAGCATAGATAAATATGAATAGCTCTTGTATAACTTTATTAATTGCATTATTCCTATGGGGTCTATTCTGTAAAAATTCCTTTATATTTAACGGCCTTTAAAAATATTTTCTTCTTTAATTCGGTCACTATTTAAACGGATCTTTAAAATACATTAGAGGACTATCTTAAAGAAATCTGTTTAAATAATGATAGAAGTAAATTAACGAATACAAATATACTTTTAAAGGCCGCCAATATTTTTAAAGGCCGTTAAATATAAAGGAATTGTTACAGAATAGACCCCTATATCTGTTTATTTATCATTGTCATTAGTTGTATATTTTATATGTAGTTTTTTGCTGAATAAAGCCAATTAAATCTTGGTAAGCTTTCATAACAATATATCAACTGGTCTAAATATCTATTATTGACATAACAAACTTAAAATTATAGAAACAACAGAAAGGTAAAAATATATGGGTAGTTTTGGTTAGTGAATATAAATATTTCCAACAATCTTAAAAATATAGAAAAAACAAAAAAGAAAAATAATACAGGTAGTTTTATTAAATGAACACCTTAACAAAGCGGTATCTGCCAAAAACCTATGTAAAATTATCGGTAATATGATATTTCATCCTCTACAACCCTACATAATCAAAAATTAGTAATTTTATCGATTATCTTACACAGAACGTAAAAATAAAAAAGAAAACAACGCAATAAGACGAACCAATACGTATTCAGTATAGGTATTTAAAAGTTATCCAATTAGTGGCGAAATAAGAAACCATAAAAGATTTAACGTAAGAAGTACATAATTGATTAACGTGCAGAAACCACCAGCTCAGCGTCAATTAGGAATTAAAAAATAATTTCTGTATTTTTTTAATATAGTGCAAAGTGACGAGAATACGAATATGTGTATACAGCTCACAACAGATACAGTTACGCAAACAAATAAGGTATTTCTAAATAGAGCCTTTCAAAATCTCTAGAACTATTAGCAACTGTAAACAGACCCCTTATTTTTAGTGGAAATCGAGCACATTAGAAATATATTGCAAATTCACTAAGGTTAGCCTCTATTATTAGCGCCGCTCTTATTTTGACATTTGAGCATGCTTTATTAAAGATATTGTCTGACCTTAAATGTGAATGTTTAAGGGCGGGGTAAGGGTTTTCACTTTCGAAAAATCGAATTTTTTTTTGTCTTATCTTATTGTTTAACATTTTAAGCAGATATAGGGGTCTATTCTGTAAAAATTCCTTTATATTTAACGGCCTTTAAAAATATTGTCGGCCTTTAAACATATGTTCGTATTCGTTAATTTACTTCTGTCAATATTTAAACAGATTTCTTTAAGATAGTCCTCTAATGTATTTTAAAGATCCATTTAAATAATGACAGAAGTAAAGAATAAAATATTTTTAAAGGCCGTTAAATATAAAGGAATTGTTACAGAATAGACCCCAAAAGTTTTTTTTTAATAGTATTGGTACACAAACAATACAAAAGTAATATATTTAAAAAAAAGGAGGCACTTATTTAAGAATATTATCATGATAAAAACTAAAATTTTGAAAAAATCTATTTCTAATTCCACTCTTCAATCATGTTCACCTTTTATTTCTTTTATTTTATTTAGTTCAATCAGAAGAACTTAATAAATGTTAAGTTAAAAAAATGGATACAGATGTATTTTTTACTTGATTATAGCTAAATTTAACACAATATTTCTGATGATTCATTATTTGTTTAGAGTTGGCAGCAAATTTGTTCAATATATCTCCCACGATATTCTGTTAGATAAACTTACATAATATTGTGACATAAGAGGATCTCATACGAACTTTTATATCTGGTCGCACTCGAGCTGTTGTATTAAACACATAATAATATTTCCCGATTAAGAGAAATAGAACATGGTGTACCGCAAGGATCCGTTTTGTGGCCATTGCTTATTTTTAATATTTATAAATGACTGGATAAAAAGAAATTGAAAGAAAAGCTGGGACAGGTTTGTTTCTAACAAACTCAAGATGAATTTTGACAAAATGCAGTAATTATTTTTCGGTAATAATACTGCTTTACAGAGGGACAATAGTGTTACTTTATTAGGTTTAACTATCAATGAAAAACTGACTTGGTACCATCATATAAAACAATTGAACAAAAAATTGTCTAGTTCACTCTTTGCTCAGATATTTAAGACATGAAATAAGTTTTTCTTTAAGGACATTTTATTTCGCTGTTTTGTTGTTATACTCTGCCTCATCCTGGCCTCATCCCAATCTACTTTCAAGCTACAAGAGAACCCTAAGAATTTTAGCTAATATTATTATGGAATTTCTAAATAGATAGTGTAAATACTTTAACCATTTGTAAATCATTGTAACCATTTTCCATGTAAGCAGTTGATACTGGAAGACTAGAGAGAGTTGGTACCAATCTTGCTTGATCTTGATCTTAATCATGATCTTGACAGTAGCGCAGCTACAATTTTGGTATAGTCGATAAAGTGGGACACTATGTAAAGCGATTTAAAAATGGTGGATTTTAAAATTTATGAAATTCTACTCTTTATTGTTGAAACACCTATAATAATAATTGTCGTCCACCGTGGTTAATAAGTAGAAACGTAAAGCGCTGTTGCCGAACTATCACAAATTTCATGAAAGATCTTTTTTAATTAAAGGCACCTAAGATTGTAAATCTTTTATGTTTCTTTTATAAAAAATCAGTGAAAAGACAAGGTGAATTATATTCTGGTACTTTAAATCAATGAACCAATCCAAAATAGGATATCAGGCAATCCTAATTTCGTCACTATTATTTATGTAACGTTTTTGTTTTAGATTCGCGAGTGAAATGTCCTAACCTCAACCCCGGCACTCGTTCCTTCCGACCATGGTGCTCTAAACCGGATACACGGATACACCTCGAACCGAACCTCGTCCGCAGCCGTCATGTTGTCGTACATGCTTCCGGTGGACGATAAACCGCCTCCAGCGCCGCCCAAGGGTCATCTGCAACTCTCTTTAAGCGGCGGCGGCGAACCGGTGGCCAACGGCGGAGGCCGCGCGTCTTCCACGCCGATTTCCAAGGAGACGAGCGTGAGCAGCTTCGCCAGTGATCTTACAACGGCCACGGCCAGTCACAGTTCCATGACTCCGACCAGTACCAGTGATAAGGGAAAGCCTAAACTTATGATTAATGGGAAGCATCCTACTCTTAAAAGGTTTGTATACGATTTTTGTTTTGGTATAGCGTTTTTGATAAAAATTTGTATTGTTGATTTATTCACTTGTTTTGACTATTTTATTGACGTGTGTATCAAAAAGTAGTTTAGTATAAAAAAAAACAATCCGGTATTTAACCAGATTTGTATCATTGTGTGGTTCTCCAAATAAATATAGATTGGAAGTAGATGGAGATGTGTTAGATGTAAAGAGTGTCTTACAACATTTAAAATAATCAAGATCCATTTGAAAATCTTAATTATCGGTACAAGATACTATATTTTTAAGTTATCTGCATAAAATGCAGTATTAGAATTTCTGAAACATTTACTAATGTCATTTAAAAATATGTTAAAAAGCAGAGGTCCCAAATGAGACCCTTGCAGTACATCAGAAGTTACTGGAAGAGTTTCAGAATTTGATCCATTATTTATTTATTTATTTATTTATTTATTTGGGTTACACCATCCAACAGTATAAAACCAATTACAGGATGGGCACAAAAATAATTACAATTACAGTATAATTTACATCATAAAAATAACAAAATCTTAAATATTAATAATAGCATAAATATATATAAACAAAAAATAGTTTAATAAACGTTTTAACCATCATAAGAAAAAGCAAAAAAAAATTCCGTTATGAGAAAAATTACGTTGTCATGATAATTAACTCAATCCACAACTAAGTGTTTTATTTCTTTAATTGAAGTAGAAAATAAATCAACATCATTTTGAAGTTCTCAAAAATTTTGATACATAAAATACATTGGAGAAAATTTTAAAATATTTGTCCTGGGAGTCTGAAAACAGAAATACAAAGGGGAGTGAGTTCTGATAGTAGGAACATTAAACATTAGTTGACGAAGTAGTTCGGGACAGTCAATTTTATAATTTAATAATTTGTAAAGAATGCAGATGGAATAACATTTCCTGCGAGTACGTAATTCGAGGATATCAAATCTATTCAGCAAGATGGTTTGCGGGATATTGCGAGTAGGGTAGACGCCATCTAGCTTGCACCACAAATATTTGACAATTTTTCGCTGAATTTTTTCTAATGCCTGACTATGTACTTCATATTCAGGACTCCAAACAATGGACGCATATTCTAGCTTACTACGTACAAAAGCGTTAAAAATAGTTTTTAAAGTGTTATGCTCAGAGAACTGGCGTCAATTTCGAATGACAAAACCCACATTTCTGTATACTTCTTTCTGAATAGTATTGACATGTTCAATAAAGTTTAACTTAGCGTCGAATAGAACACCAATATCTCTAAAAGACATTTATTGATGTTAATATTGTTGACACTGAAACTATACTCAATCGGATTTAGTTTACGAGTAAAGCTGATAGAATTGCACTTAGATATGTTTAGTGGTAAGTTGTTAGAATTACACCAAAGGTTCAATTTATTTAGGTTCTCCTGCATAATCAAACAGTCATCAATACTGGAGATTGATTTAAACAATTTTAAATTATCGGCATAGAGTAGAGTATTACATGATAGGTTTTCAGTAATGTCATTTACAAAAATGGAAAATAAAAGTGGTCCTAGAACTGAACCTTGAGGGACACCGGAAGAAGCTTTTATACAAATTAACTGAAAACCATGGTATTCAACTTTCAATTTATGATTACTTAAACATGATTCAAAGAAACGCAGAAAAGCCGTAGTTAGTCCAACAATGGAAAGCTTGTTCAAAAGTATACTATGATCGAGGCGATCAAAGGCCTTGGAAAAGTCAGTATCTATATATCTTCAACCTGACCACCCCTAATCAAGGTTTTCCGCAACATATTGTGTAAAGCATATCAGATTGGTCTCTGTGGATATGCCTGAAAAAAAAAAACCCTGCTGTGCCGTATATATAATCGATTTTACATGAGCGAAAAGTATTTGTAAATTTTAATATTCTGTGAATAAACTTCTATCTATCTATCTATCTATCTATCTATCTATCTATCTATCTATCTATCTATCTATCTATCTATCTATCTATCTATCTATCTATCTGTGACATTTTCGAAAACTTTTCCAAAATTGCAAAGGATGGATATAGGTTTGTAGTTTTCTATGATAGATTTTGATCCTTTCTTAAAGATCTTCCAATGACTTGGAAAATTCCCTTCTCGTAAGGACATATTAAAGACCATGGTTAAAGGTTTGGTTAAAATATTTGCACAATCTTGTATTAAAAATGCTGGAATATCATCTGGCCCTCTAGTATTTTTAGGTTTCAATCTTTTGAGACCTTTAATGACATATTCTTCTGTAAGTAGCGGAATGTTACAACTGTTAATATTAACAACATTATCTAGTTTAGACATATCAATTTTAGACGAATTAGGGTACGATGACTGAAAATATGTAGCAAATGCATTGACAATGTCTTTCGAATTATTCAAAGGATTATTATCAAAAGTCATAATATTTGGTATACTACTGCAGTTTTTCCTTGAATTTATATGCTGCCAAAAATAATTGGGGTTAGAAGCTATTCTATTCTCAATATTTGTCAAATAATTCCTGTAATTTATTGAAATGTCGCGTTTAATTTTTTACCTAAGAATACTAAACTCGGTCAGCCTCTAGTGTCCTTCTATACAAACGATAAACAGACGATTTTTTCCTCAAATCCGATATTATACTTCTATTAAACCAAGGAGGGTATTTTGAATTGCACCTTGGTGCAGTTTTTGGTACATTAGCGGCAATTGCGGAATTTAAGATAGAATAAAACAAATTACAAATCTCCTCAGAAGTTGCGCATGCATTCAAACTACTCCAATTAATTCTACAGATACTCTGGTAGAGTTGAGGAAGATTTGCCTTTTTGAAATTATAAGATAATTTACTAGACATAGCAAAACTGGTATTTAATTGAGAAAAAGACAGCCGAAATTCTAATGAAGGATGTAGAATATCTTCGTCAACTAATGGATCAAGTGAATGATTTACAGCGATGTCAGATCTACTAAAGATTAAATCGAGTACACGGTTATTAAAATTAAGAGTATTATTATATTGTCTTAAAGTTAATAATTCAGTAAAATTATCAAGTGCAACTATACTCAAAGTAATGTCATTACGACTAGAATAGAATCGCAACATATTGACGTCTATTATTCAAATATGGAACAAGAAAATCCAATAAGTTCCATGTCACTGATGTTTCTTAGTTTAGTAATAAGATTTAAATGGCGAACCTTGTCAAAAGCTTTCGAAAACTCCGTATATACATCACAAGTTGGGTTGGCTGATTTTATGGACAGTCTAATTTTAATATTGTTATTTTTTATCCATTCTCTATTTATTTAACATTCAGGCGACCGCCAAAAAAAGACTACTTAGTTTTTTTAGACTGCCTAGAAAAGTTTTGCATTTCTTTTCATGTGAACTAGTTCGTCGACCTTTACCATTTAAATTTCAATAACTTTTTTATATTCTCGACAATTTTCCATTCCACTTTTGAAAAGTATTTAATGTATGTTTTTTCTGAAAATAATTCGTTATTCATGACCATTTGGAGTTTTCAGAAAAGCTATAAAAGAGAAGAAGAACAAGCCGCTAAATTATAACAATAATGGAAGGCAAATTACTTGACAAAAACATGGGCAATTTCAAAGCGAAAATCCCATAAGCGTTCAGCTGTAACAAATATTTGTTTACTCGCACATAAAACGAGATTTACTGTTATAAATAGCCGTCTTTATTTTCATTAAATCATTTTCTAATGTTTAACTGCCAATGGAGTTACTAGTTGGTTGTTTAGGTCGGGACACGCCGAAAGGAAAACCGATTGCAACGACATTTCACAATATTTCACTTTTTCCAAACGTCAACCGTTCTGTCCGCTTTGTTTTCTGGAATGAAAATGAATTAAATGCGTCTGTTAAATATTTTCGTTAGAGATCGACGTGGAAATAAATAGATGTGACATACTAAAATCGATATGCCAGTTTGGAATTTAAAACGTCTTCATTTCGGACAAAGAGAAAATGTGTAAAATTTGTGAAGTTTTATAATCCAAAAAAACAAAAATGAAAATTGAAAAACATTAGAAAGAAAAATAATTTTATCTATTATTTTAGATTTTTCTGTATTAAAAGAAATCGAAATTATCATGGCTTCCACCATCTCGAGAAAGTAAAATGGCGGGAAATTAAATAAAACCGTTTAGTTAATGGACAAGGAAACGTTAAGATCAAACGGTTTTATTTAATCGAGTTTTAAACTGTTCCAAGAGCATAAACCCTAGACAAAAGAAAGGTTCGCTTGTGATTTAAACGGTTTAGTTTTAATGTGGCTGTGATAAATGCCGCTCGGTTTTAATGTAAACCTAACTTTAAAATCTCCGTGTCATATCAGTCGTTTGTGTTTTGTGTAATTTTAGATTAATAATAATAATATATTGTTTTCAGTTTTTCTAATTATTGTAGGTGCACCCCTCTTTGACATGATACAAAATGCGGGGTTCATTTGGGCCACGTAAAATAGGGAATGAGTTTAATTTTATTGTTTCTAACAAGACGTATAGTTAGTCTTTACGATAACCAAATTGATTTAGTTAAGAGCGTTCCGTTTTAATATAGCTATCTAATTGCATTTAAGAAAGCCCTTATAAGGAAAAGTAATGAAATAGTTTTAAAACGCAATATTTACTGACCAAATTGTCCTAAGATCAAGCAGATTTAATAATAGGTTTTATTAGTTACATTAAGAATCTCTTTAAAACTACTTAAAACCTAAAACGTCACAATCTAGAACATAATAAAACCAAACAACCTGCAAGTCCTTCATAAAACTAAGCAGTTTTAAAGTTAATTGAAACTAAACCATTTTAAAACTACAAGACATACAAACCTTTAAGATTAATTGCCCTTATTAGCGAATCTTATTAGATACTTTAAAACCAGTATTAAATTCTAAACGGCTTTTAAGTGCCCGCAGTATATCTACAAGGTAACTTTAAAACCAGTATCTTCTTATT